TATGAAACCATTTGGCCAGCTTGAATAAAACCAGGAAAGTTGGAACTCGCATCCCAGTCTGTCTGACACCAGTGCCCGGATCTTACTGCTCTGCTATCCTGCTGTCTCTGTGGGAGCTCCATTCTGCAGTGAGCCACTTTGGGGGAAATGAGAAGGTAACTCTTGTAATGGGAACATCAGCAACTGCGTGATCGTTGATGTTAACGTACACATGTAGACCTAAATGGTAATGGTTTTGTTTGTTGTGTGAATGTACAGTAATTGTGGAAACTCCCATCTGAGCCATTCCGTGGAAGGCAGCCTCGCCCAACGACACACAAGGACTTGGGAGTCACACGGACCCGGGCTCGAAGCCCAGCTCAACGACTTTCGGCGAGCCAAGCAACTGGTACATTTCTTAAGCTCAGATCCCTCATCTCAAAACTGACTGAGCAACATCCAGAAGTATTAAATAGACATGGAATTTGGTGTCATGTTAGTTACTGGCATCTAGCAGGTGTTTAATAATCATGTTCTCACTCTTTTTACCATGCTTATTTGGTCAAGAAAAAAGAGTAAAAGTGAAAAATGAAGTATGACATTTCTTGTTAACAAAGGGTATTTGAGAACCTGAACTTGGCGTATTTCAAAGAAATAAAGTAGCCTAAAGGAAGAACAGGTCGAACAATAATTGAATTCAAATTCCTTTCTTCCTCTGAGATCCCTCTTTGGCATGTTTCTTCTCTTATTGAAACGGTCCCTTAGTGCTTCCTTAATTCGCTTTTTTCCTGGCTTGGTAAAAATATGTATTCTTAATAAACTGTCTCCTCACATCCCAAGGGACTATCATACCTATTCTGGCTCCGCTAAATAGTTTTTCCTTTCTTTTTTGACTGACTACCCTCTCGCACACACCTCCAAATCCTGCCTTTTAACTCACTTTTCTTATGCGAATCTTATAATATCTCTGTCTCCAGCACCAGAACAGTGCTTGACACATAGGAAGTCACTCAGTAAATATTTTCTGAGTATCTAAGAGAATAAAGAGCTGTTTGCAGGCATGAGATGTCACTAAACCGGGACCAAGTGTTGCTGGCTACACTTGGTCTACGCAGAACTGTGCACACATACTGCTGGCCTGTCTTCCATGAAACACCTGCTAGCTTAACTTGGACCGAGGCCCTGGTTGTTCGTTTCAGCCCAAGATGGGATGTTTAAAATTCTTTACATTTACTGATGTTGACAGCTATTCACATGTACTCGGAGAGCAGACCGAAGTCCTATTATGAAAGCTGGAAAAACCTCCGCAAAGTTCTCTCTCTTAGAGAAATTCGAAAGTCGCTTAGCACCATAATAATAGTGCAATTTTCTCCTGGAGAAAACCGTGTAATAGAAGAAGCATTGCTAATATGTCCACTTGCTCAGCAATTTAAATCAGACACCGTCAAAACATTTTACCCGCTTTAATGTCTCTTTAAGATGATTTGGTGTTATTATCTTCACTTAAAAAAAACACAAAAATAAAACCCCCCAAAAACCCAGAAAAACAGGGCCACTGAGGAAAAAAGATGCAAGAAACAAACTGTGTGACATAATTAAGGTATTAGAATTCAGGAATGGTTGAACTGGGGAAGGAAAGAGGGAGAGAGAAAGGGAGGAAGAGAGGAGAGGAAGGAGACATAGACGTACCAGGAGAAAAAGTGCCAAAGAAAATAGAAAAAGCAAATAGGTATTTTCTCTTCATTTCTGGGTTTCTCGTCTTTCGCTCACCTTTTATACAGAACAGACCAATAGACGAGCTAGCTGCGGCCTGACGGATGGTGGGCAGAGTGTCACAGGAGTGAGGAGCCAGGAGGCCGAGGAGTGAGCCAATTTTAAAGCGGTCTGGTGCCTGCAGGACAAAGGAGGCCCCCAAGGGGATGGAGTGTCTTGATGGTTTTCCAGGATATTCCCAACGCTGGATAGTAAGTCCCTTGTTTTCTCCCTGCAGGTCTTTAGGATGAAATTGAATCCTGAACTTTTCCTTTAAGGGCGGTGGAAAAGTGAATAAGGAACCATGTAAAGACAACCAAGTAGCTCAATGCCAGTGTGTTTGCCAGGCTCCGGGGTTGGGAGCCGCCTCTCAGGAGGTTCTCCGGGAAGCAGCCCACCTGGGACTGAAGATCCATCGTGGAGGAGTTTGGGCTCCCAGAGGCCTCAGAGGTCTTTGTTGTTAGCAAGCAGGGGAACTTACTAACTCTAAGGGATCACTTACCTCAACGTCATTTGTCAGCACTTTCGCGGTTATCTGGAAGGCTCTCTCTCTTTCCCACTCTTTTTGTGAAACAAGCCACATTCGGAGAAGCTGTTGGTCAAAGAGGAAGCATCCTTGCCTTAGTATTCGTCATAACTCACTCATTCGCATTCATTCCCTCACTCTTGCTTTCACTCTCGCTCTATCGCACTCTTTCACTCTTTGCTTCTTCTGTAACAGGTGCTCATTTCCTCACAAACAGTTTTCAAGTGGGCTGGCTCTATGTGGTGGGGTAAATGGGTCAGGCTGGAAATCTCCCTGCGAAGACGATGAGGTAAAGTTTGGAGCGGTGCATTGGAGCACAGAGTAGGGGATCTGGGAATCAGCTCAGAGGTGGCCCTACTCACATCAAACATTTCTTGACAGTCCTCTGCTTTCACATTGTCCCACATCATGGTCCTCAGAAGCTTTCCTAGAGCATCCATGGATCGTTCATAGAGAAACTGAAATCAGAAGTGAGTGGGAGTGTGAGGCTGAGGTGAGAGAGGAAAGTCCTACTGAGTTCTTAATGCTACTCAGGCCTCACCCCCACGTACGTTAATGTGCTCCTTGTCTTTGTCCGTCTCGCCCTCATTTTTGAGTTTTTCCAGAGGTGGAAGGGGCAGCAGCCTCCGAATATTCTCTTCAAGAATATTAAGATGGTCATTTAGTGAGAGCTGAGGTTTCAGTTTACTGAAACGAGAATCCCGTGGAGGAATGGATATTATGATGACAAATGAAACATGACCCAGTAGAGTTCCCATGAACTGCCAATCACATCTGAAGGGATCAGTTACACTTTCTGACCTGTTAGGATGTTGAGGGAGGTGGTGACAGGAGTAGAGAGAGCTTGGGGACATAGAATCAGACTGTACCAATGAGCACAGTCAACATGCCTCAATTCTAGTTTATTGGAGTGATAAACAAATCATTACTTGCTTTGAATTACCTAACCCTTTATTATATGACCCATGATAACATTAACCTACTTGTTTTCTTCAGTGCTTGTGTGTGTGTGTGTGTGTGTGTGTGTATGTGTGTGTGTTTCTGTGTCTGTGAGAGAGAGAGAGAGCATAAAAGAGAGACAGAGTCAGAGACAGACACTAAGTTTGGAGCAGTGAGTTTTATCAATTTGATCTGCCCTCTCATGTTGTATGTAATATCACACATATCATAGGTTCTTATAAATGCACAAGTGCATAAACGATCCCTTCCTTCTTGCTCTACTCCCTCCCCACTCCCTCCCCCTTCTCCTCTCTCTCTCTCTCTCTCACACACATACACACACACACACACACACACATTAACTATAGACATCATGAGGATATGAACAAGCCTGGACATACCTTAGGAAAATGCAAATGTTCTGTAAAAGATGAAAAATCCCATTTGTTGTTAAGTAAATGTAAATTAAGACAATACGATACCACTTGTCAGTGACCAAATGAACAGAGAAATCAAAAATGAGTGAAATTAGTTCTCTCACAGGGGAGTAAAAGTCAGTACCAGCTGAGACATCTCTAATGAAAGTGTTAAACGTGTTGATATATGCTGAACAGTCTTCTCATCTTTATCAACTGGCTGCCTTTTTTTTTTTTAAATCAACTTATGGAGGTATAATTTATGCACAATGAACTACATCCATTTAAAGAGTGCAATTAAATGAGTTTTACACCCATGAAACTATAATTATAATCGATATAAACACATTCCTATCACCCCCAAATTATTCCTTATGCCTCTTTGCAGTTCATCTCTTCCTCCATCCTTGCCCTATGCATACACTGATTTGCTTTCTGTCATTAGAGATTAGTTTGCAAGGGTCCTGTCCAAGTGAGGGCAGTCACTAGCAATACCTGGCTATTGAACACTTGAGTTGTGGCTAGTCTGAATTAAAATATGCTGTAATTTTAAAACACACTGGATTTTGAATATATAGTATGAAAAATCATGTACATTATCTCATTACTATTTTTTTAAAGATGTTGAAATGATAATATACTAAATATATTGGATTAAATAAAATAATTACTAAAATTAATTTGTTTTCTTTTACTAGAAAATTTTAAATGGCATCTGTGACTTGAATTATATTTCTACTTCACACCACTGCTCTAGATCCTGGTTAATTCTTAATTCATGTTCAAGATTCATTTACTTGAGTTTTCTGCAAACTTTCCTCGTCTTTGTAAAAATGTCAACATGTGCCTTCCCTTATTTTGCTTCCTATTACATTTTAGAGAAATTATGTGGGTGTGTTTTGCATCTATATTTTGCAGTAGGCTAAAACTCTTTCAGGGCAAGGCCATATTTTGCTCATCGATGTCCTTTCAGAACCTAGATCGACACCTGATACATGGATAATACATGGTTGATCTTTAATATTTATTGAACCAGACTGTCAACTTTTATAATTAGAAGTTCAGAGAACACTTTTTGCAGGAAGGAATGGAGAGTTGTTGTTTAATGAGTAGAGAATTTCAGTTTTGCAAGATGAAAAGAATTCTGGAGATAGGTTGCACAACAATGTGATTGTACTTAAGACTACTGAACCCTATATTTAAAAATGGCAAAGAAGATAATTATATGGTGGGGTTTTTTTTTTTTACCACAGTTAGAATTTTAAAAACATTTTAATGAAAAAAGAACAGTGTTTGTGAGGAATTGGTAATAATGTGGGAATATATAAGGTGAAGTGAGAAAAAGCAGGATAAAAACTCATATGTAGATTAGGGTCTCAACTCTGTAATCGAAATGCAGCACTAGATATAGACTTGAAGGAAACATACCAAAATGTTGAAACTAGAAGGAGGAAATGGGGGTAATTTTTATTGTTTTAAAAAACTTTCTACATTTACCAAGTTTTAACAGTGAGCGTGTATTTTTTTTTTTTTTTACTGTTGGGGAAAATATTATTTTAAGAATTTGCCTAAAATTATTTTCTTTTTCAGGTTTATTGCTGCTAACCAAAGAGAATGTGATTAGGGCTTTCATAAATTTTTAATGGGAAGAGTAAAATCTGCCTACAGGCCAAGATCTAGGAAGAGAAATGTTCTTTTGCACAGACATTTCAGTCCTCATATATCAATAAATCTGATTCCTCTAAGTCTCTTTAGTCCCTGTCTGTCATTGAATGCTCAATCTCTCAGGTTTTTCACCCTGGAAAGAGAAAAAGTCCTTATTTGGAATAACCGTGTTCATTTTGGGAAGCGTGTACTGGAGTTTGCACTGATGGATAACTCAGTTGATCAGGAGGAGGATATGGGGAGAAAATATTTTTTCAATGAGAATAACAAGAAATTTTCTACCTGAGGTATCTGATGGCGATCAAGGCTTTCCATCGAATAGGGCTAGCTAAAGAATCCAGGGGCTCGTCCCTGATGAAGTCCTGTCACACAAAGGAGGAGGTGAAATATTTTTAAAAAAGATCAAGGGAGTTTCTAGATGTAGCTGCAACCTCACTGGACCCTTGGGTGCCCTCGGGCAGAAATACGGCAGATATCTGTTCCTTGGGACTGGTGAGTTTTACCCAATTTGAAAAAGACAGCCCTGCACCCTTGGTAACGTGCTTCTCGGCACCTTGCCCGTGTCCTCCCTGCTCACTCACCAGCATGTGACCGAGCAGCACCTCCTTGTAGGAAAACTTGAACCCCTGATCCTCAGCATCTTGGAGAGCAATGCCAATCTCAGTGATACTTCTTGTGAAACTCATTTGCAAATCTATGTCCTAAAGCAAAACAATTGATAGTTGAAGCCACTGTCACAGGCAGGGCTCCTGGATCTATAAATGTGTGATTGAGGGTTGAAATGTCCATCCAGACAGGAGCAAGAATCTCTGCTCCTTTTGCCATCGCTACTTCAATCAAGGATCAAAGTTTCAGGAAAGTTGAAAAACAAAGGCCAATCTCCACTCCCTCCTCCTATCCCCACCAGGCTTGATAGATGGAGTTACTCTAGAGCAGTGGCTTTTAAACATCTTTTACTATAAGCCACAGTAGGAAACAGTTTATAATTCCACCCAGTACTTATATGTAATGTTATATATATATATGTATAGATACATATACAATGTATAATATATATCCAAAATAAAAATTCCATGATACCTATTGCTATATGCGGTAAGTACTCTTCTATTTCTCTTTTATTTCACTACAAAAATTTTGCTGGTTGTGACCTATTAAATTGATTTCATGGTCTACTGGTGGGTGGGTCACAACGTACCGTTTCTAAAAAACATTGCTCTAGTTTATAGCCCAGCTTCCAAACCAACTGGAACCAAATATAGTTCCTTGTTCTGTCTTAGATTAGGCTCTAGGATCCTGGCTTCAAAATTGGATTAATTAGCCATATATTAGGACCTTTTCCTTTGGAATCAAATCAAGAGAACATCTATGCTTATTGCACTTCCGGGAACGATGAGTTATGTTCAAATATATATATATTCAAATATATCAAATATATCACATACCTTGTTCATCACAGACATGCCCAGAATCTGAAAATTCAAAAGCAAAAGCAGATACTATAGCAGCAGTTAGAGAGTTCCCTCACCCCAACAAAAAGACCCGCCCATCAAACTGAAGTTCAGCAGTGACACTGAGTCCTGCCAAGGGGTGGGAGTTGTTCACTTCTTCCTCATTTTCAAAGTGAGGCCCTGGACACTGGCAGATTCTTTCCCTCAGGCGAGTCATGACTAAGCTACAGAAAGCAGCATAAAAGCGTCAAGCCTTTTGATTTCAGGCTTCACAGTTTAAAGAGGTTCTACTAGACTTTGGTAAGAAAAAGGGTAATTCTCCTGGCAGAAAGAGCAGTGTAAAGTTATAAAGTGAAAGTTAATAGGAAAGATCACTTTGGAACCGAGACACAGTCAGTTCTGCTATAACACCTGTGTTGAGAATGAAAATTTCTTTCAGTGAAATTAATATACGGGGGAGTACTTGTAGCGTAATCTGAGATTTGTGTTTGCTTATGCGTGGTTTCGCACGAAGGTGCTCCAGTTGAATTGAGCCACATTGGAATACTCACACGCACATTTCAAACATCTGCCAGCTGTTTACTGCGTTATGAGATGCTCCTCGTTCATATCTGGCATTACAGCTGTCTGACAGGTTTCAGATAACCCTCCTTTGCCACCATTTCATAATATTTCACAGTTCTCACAACTGACTTTAGGTGTTTTCCAAGGAAAAGTGCCATACTTGTTTGGTAGTATTTATATATTTAACTGCTTTTTAAAATTGTTTTTTAAAATTAGATTCTCGGGTTTTTTTACGTGTCGTTAATTTTTTTTTTTTTTAAATGTAATGCCCCTCAATCCATTTGCCTCAAAATCCCTGTGGTTTTTCTTGTACTATTTTATGCATATGTTGCATTATAGCAGAATTGACACTACCTTAAAAGTGTACAGTCATCTTTATCGAAAACTTCTTCATTTCCCTCCCTTATTTATTATTATCACAATTTCCCTCAATGATAGACTAAAAATTAACGTAACACAAAATGTCATTTTTTATTATGTTTTCTATTCTCGTCATTGCATATCAAATTTTGAGTGTGTCAGAATCATCTTTTGAGGAGCGTATTAAAACCGCAGATTCAGTGATCCATCCCTGAAGACCGTGATTTATTAGGGATCTCTAGTTTTCACAAGCTCTCCAGGTAATTGTCATGCAACTGGGATGTGAGGATGACTGCCATATTTTCTTCCCCTAGTAAATACTTGTGTCTATGACATCATGAGCTCCCTATGAATCCATTCTTATCACATACACACATGAATAAATGTCAAGAGCACATATTTATCAAACAGGAGTTGGTTTATAGAGAGTACAGAAGAGGAGATAAAAGAAGATAAGGTATAATCCCTAACATCAAGGTGCTGACAATCTGACGGGAGAAGCAGATGTGCATGTAATTAATGAAAGCTCGCCAAACCTGGCTGTGGACAAGAATAATTCATAAACCTTTGAAAAACACAGATGACAGACTCCAACCCAGATCTACTAAATGGCTCTGGAAAGCTTTATTTTAAACTTGATCCCTAGGTGATTCTTATAAGTTTAACCTCGTACTGGTCAGCAAAATGGCCGAATTGACAATATGTATAAAGCACTTTATTAAAGATACAAAAAGTGCTGTGGGGGACAGAAATGACTGGTTAAACTCTAACTGAGTTTGGTGGCTCCGACGTGGAACATTCTTGGCATGTCTGAGGAGCATCAAGGATGGTCAGGGTGGCTGGAGTGAATGTGGAGGGGGAAAATAGTACAATATGAGGTGGATTGATGAATGACATATTTTATTCACTTAAAAATACCAATATGGTTATACTTTACATAACTATGTATGCTGCCAGATAGGTAATAAACTTATTAGGGGATTACTTTGTAAATTATATAAATGTCTAACCACTATGCTATAGACCTTAAACTAATATAATTGAATGTCAACTGTAATTGAAAAAAATACAGTGATGGCACTTATTATTTGTGAGGCACTGTTTTATGTAGTTTATCAATATTAACATGCAAAAGGTTAAACAACTACCATTAGTTACACTTTAGAGATTAATATGAGGAATTAGCCAGAGAGTATTTATTTTAAGTTCAAATGAGGGTGAGACCACTATGAGTATGATTGATCTGAGACAAGGCATCACGGGAGGGGTAGGATATGAAATGCCCACGGTCTTAGGCAAGAAACAAGTTACCTGACCATGTCTCATAATACATTTTTCTGTTCCCATGTGTTCTCATCTTCCAAACATATCAGATCTTATCTTGCCCTTTGTCTGTGTCCTTTGAACATGAAGGTTCCCAAGGACTGAGCTATTCCAAGGTTTGGGAACCCCAGCCTGGAAATCGAGGCAGCCCTGTCGTGGCCATTACCTGAGAGCACTGGCCATAAAGAAACAAGACTTGAGATACGATGTCTTGCTCAAGCCTGGTGAGTAGTTGACTCTTAGGGGCGTGGAGGGCCACGGATCCGTAGATTACTATAACGTCAGTCTTGCTCAGGCTTTTTTTCCCAGAAAAAAGACCCTGAAGACAAGAAGAGACATGAAAAATATGACTGAAAGAGTTTTCTTTTATTTCATGACTTTTCCTGACCCTATGGACCGCTACAGGGGTTAGGAAATGAGATCGAGATGATCAGAATTAGTCTAAAACTGATAGGTGTTTAAATTTAAACACCCAGGACTGTGTTGTGGATCTATCAGGCTTTAGTAGAGGTAACTGTGAGAAGGCTTGTGTTAATTTTTACTTATTAAATCCTTCTCCTTCAGGGAAGCAGGGTGTGTACAATGGAAACTGTCTACGTGGCCTGAGCAGCTGGTAGAAGGACAAACCTAGGCACACCTGGAGCTCCTGAGGACCTTCTAGGTCAGCATTAGTGACAGAAAATGGAGTGGTCTTGTTATTTACTGGTCATTCTACAGGGCCGGCCTCAGACAGTTCTGACCTGGAATAAAGACCTGGGACAGGAGTAAGTATAATTTGGAGAAAAAATATTCACTGAAGGAATCAGTGTCATTTTCTCTCGCAATGACCAAAGGCTTTGGAGGCGAAGAGTGGCTTTGTTTGTTTGTTTGTTTGTTTGTTTGTTTGTTTGTTTGTTTGTTTGTTTGTTTGTTTGTTTGTTTGTTTGTTTGTTTGTTTGTTTGTTTGTTTGTTTGTTTGTTTGTTTGTTTGTTTGTTTGTTTGTTTGTTTGTTTGTTTACCTTACATCGATTCACGAAAAACTTTTCCCGATTTTGGAATGTTTTAAGAACTGTTAAAACAATATCCAAGTGGTTCTCGGCACAGTATCCTAAAATAGATGTTATTCCCTAAAATCAGAAAAGATATGTGAGATTTTGAATTTAACCAGTCACTTATTCGACAGATATTTATGGAGCACCTGTTTTGTGACAGGCTCTCTTCTCGGTGCTGGGGGATACGTCAGTAAACAGAACACACCACACTCCCCGTCCCTGTGGATCATACAACCAGAGGAGGCGACTTTCAGTAAACACGTAAATTCCGGAAACGTGTATTTTGTGTATAGGGTATCGTGATGGTGATAAGTGCTATGGAAAAAAGAAAAACGAGGAAGGAGCATAGCTGCTGCAGGTTGCGGGGATCTTGCAGTTTAAATAGGATGGCCAGAGAAGTCCTCACTAACAGGGTGACATCGAGCAGACCCCTGAAATAAGTGAGGGAGCGAGCCATGGGATGAGCCGGGTAGGAGAGTTTCAGGCAGAGTTTCAGACCTTAACGGCAAAGGCCCTGCGGTCCGCTGAGCAGGGCTGAGTAAAGGATCACGGAAGAGAACAGTGCAGGGTGAGGTCAGAGGGGAGGTCCGAGTTGGTTCCAGCAGGAGCTTTTAGTTCATATTCAAGATTTTGGATTTTTAATCTTAGATTGATGGATTTTTTGAGGTTGAGTTGACTGATGTTTTTCAAAGATAATCCTGCTGCTGGAACGCTATTGTATTTTAAGTGGTTAAATTATGGACAGCTGGTAGCTCCTGTTGCACACTCCAAGGTTATGCTCCCCCTGACCCATCTCCTCCGTGCTCCACTTCTCTTGCCCCAGGCTGATTTCACCACAGTACTTTCATGGCAATTTATTCATGAATCCTGTCATATTGTGTTTGGCTACATAACCCTGCTAGAGACACCACGAGAAGCCAGGGACTAGACCATTGCTACTAAGGTCTCAACCAGCACTGTTCCTCGCCCTTAGACACCAAGCCACACACCCTCCATCACCTGAAGATGCTTGGAAAAATTTTGCAAAGGCTTATAGCCTGACATTGCTGTGCTCCTTGGTTACAGCCTAAGATATAAACCTCTCTGTGTCTTTTACACTCTTTGTGTTTTCACCCCATAATGCTCTTTGCGTGTCCTCTCCCAACACGTCTTCCTAACTTCTTGTTTCCTTCTCTAACTTTTCTATGTCCTGTTGCCCTTCTCTCATTTAAGTCTGGCAAAACCCAACCTCTGGATAAATCTGACTCTCCAACTTACCTTTTCCCTATGCCTACACCTAGTCTGCCGGATGCTGCTGAAGAAAAGCGACATCACAGAGGCAACCAGTGGCGCTATAAAATGATTCCAACCCCAGCGGGGCCCGCGACGCTGCACAAACGCCCTGCTAACTTCCTTTTGTCCAGTTTCTCTCTTTGGTTGCTCACAGTAGTAGTTCTCTATCTTAAATCTTCTCCTCCCCCGAAACTGCTCACCAAGCATTCTCCATGAACAGGAGCTTTGATAAGAGTTTGTTTCCCCTTATTTTACTTTAGCGGAACCTGAGGAATTTCACCGATGGTATATTGTGGAGCCAAGATTTGAATCCAGCCAGTCCCATACCATAATCTGAGCTCTGGCATTATGTGAGTGAGAGTCATGCTTAGGAGATGGGTTAAGGAAGGTATGTGTTAACATCTTTCCCATCCAGAGGTCATTTACTAGGCAAACCAGAGTGTGGGACATACTCAACAACTTGAAGTGAAGTTAAGTAATAAAGAGTTTGAGAAGCTCAAGTGGATGTTACAAAGTTAGTGAAATTTTCAGACCTCGGAAGAGAGCCTCATGGGATGTTTATATCTAAAAATAAACTTATTTTGTTTCCTAGCCGATCGCGGAACTAAAAGGACAAGTAGCTTAGGGAAAATGGTTTTACAAATAATACCAAGAGCAACAAGTAATAACTGAATGTATGACGAGGATAAAAGAAATAATAGCAAAAAGGAAAAAAAAAAAAGCAATTTCAAAAGTTCAATAAGTCTAGTGGTGCCTGGCCATTTCATATGGGAGAAAGAACTCTAAACACCTCAGAATTTCTCAGAAGAGTATATACCAAAACTCGATAATTTATTTTATACTAGGTGATGTTTATTAGCCTGCAGATTTTTTTTTTTTAATACACATCATTTTCTTCCTCCAGATTCAAATGTGCTTTCCAGCTTAGGCTTGGGCATGGAATAGGTAAAAATGCTTTGCAAAAGCTTTCCAGATTATACTTATATTCTTTCTAAGTTGAAAACCAATGGTGTATAAGGTTGCTTTCAGCTTGTAAGCTCATGGATTTTGATGTTTACGATTATATTCAAGTTATAAAACCAATGTCAAAATATATTAAAGATAGTTTTGTTAAGTAAGAATAATTAAAATTCATTTTTCAATATTTTCACAAACCTGGTTAAATAATAAAATATTGATATTTAAACAGAGGAGCATCATTTTTCTGAAAAATTCTGTTGGACCAAATGTATTCATGGATAATTCTGGATAAGTAAGACCTTATAAGACTGCAGAGGTTTTTCTGGATTGAATTAATTACCATCATCTTAAGAGAAAATCGAGAGAAAGGGGTCTCACCTGTCGTTGATCCCCCAGTTGGTTGGGAGAAATCAGAAATTCCCTAATTTGTGAGCTTACAAAGTTTGTGTCTTGGCAGGATGCTAAGGTGGTTCCCAAGGCTTTCCAAAGAAATTTCTGGGAAACGAAGAACAAGCAACAGAGTGTTAAAGGTTGGAAAGCAAGGCTGATGAAAAAACAGAAAGACTTAAAACAGTCTTCAAAAGGAAAGAAACCAGTGTGACTAAATGAAGGCTCAGTAACCACGCGCTTCAAGTATTATCCCTGCTTGAAAGTGTGTCCTTCCTTCCAGGGTCTGTCCTGTGCCTGTGCTCTTATGGTACTTCTCTGTGCCCCATGCCCTGTCATTATAACACCTTTCACTCCCTACGGTAATTTTTAAATTTTTTTTTATCTCTGTGCTCAGCATTTTAGTTTTTAGTAACAGATGGTCTTACTGATTACTTCCAGTGTACAGCAGCTAGCTGATGAGTGCTCGATAAATGTTTATTGAATAAGCATGCTCAAGGAAAATAGGGCCATTTGAAGATGATGTCATCAGATATTCTCAACTTCCAAAGTATATTAACTTACTTTATAGTTCAGAACAGCAGTCCCCAACCTTTTTCGCACCAGGGACTGGTGCTCCTATGAGAATCTAATGCCTGATGGTGTGAGAGGGAGCTGAGGTGGTGAGGCCGGCCCTGGGGAGCGGCTGCAAACACAGATGAAGCTTCACTCGCTGTGCGGCCTGGTTTCTAACAGGCCATGGACTGGTACCAGTCCGTGGCCCGGGGGTTGGGACTCCTGGTTTAGAAGATTTAACCTATAATAGTTTTGAAAATAATATTTTACAATCTCTACTATTACCTCCCTCTCAGGAGTAAGACGAGTTGCCCAGAAGTGCTGTCAGAATGGTGTCAAGGGTGAAGGAGGAAAGTCTTGCAGGAACTTTGATGCACACATTGTGCTTTTAGCAAGGAACACTGGGGAAGGAAAGCTCTCGATGTGGGAACACCGGTGAGAGCACGTGGGGAATCATTCTGTGGCTTCCACATCCCTTAAAACTGGTACGGATGTTGGCTTCGTTATGCTAGTCCTATCCTGGGTACTTCTGCAGCATCAGGATAGAGAAAAGGCAGGTAGGACAGACGTGGCTTCCTGTTCTTTTTCATTAGAAGCTGTACAAAAGTTAGGACATGGCTGGGGGAGGGGGACAGCCCAGCTGTGGCTTATGTTTGAACATGACAGCATATGCCTGGATATAAATATGTTTATGTGTATGTGATGTGGATGGGTATGTATAGATAGACATATCTATATTCTTGTGGAGGTAAGATGCAAGGAAGAAATTCACAAGAGGAGGTGCTCATCATAGGGCCGGAAAAATTAGGTCATGAAGCCTTAATTTGTTTTCTAAGATTCAAAGCATTTACAGCTATTGAGCATCAAATTGGCATCTCCTTGTTTAGAATGTCCGTCTTGTCACAAACAGGAGAGAAGACCGGCCAGAAGGAAGTCCATTCCAGGGACTCTGTGGGCTCATAATATTGTAGCTACTGAGTGGTCATTATCGGTCAGAATGAATCTGTGGCACAGGAGGGAAGGAAAACTAGTCATAACAGACGGAGTTATGTAACTTAGCACATGCAGGAGGAATTACAGAGATCAGTCTGACTTGGGATCAGAGCGGGACATAACTACCAGAGTGACAGTAGCCTCAATCAGAGGAGACTCTGACAAGGTAGCACCCACCACACTCTTGATTGTCCAGGAAAAAGGCCCCATGATAATGGAATGATAATGAGAAAAATGTGTAAAACATAGGAGTAAATATTAATTAGGGCCCAAACTACTAGAGTCTATTTAGCTTTACCTTGAAGGAAGGATAAGAAAATCCGGAAAAGTCTCGTGCTGCAGAAAAAAATTGATGTTATGATAGGGAACTATGACATATATGTAAAGGGTTAGCCTCCTAGTACCGCTGACCTGCTGTTTCTCTGCTGAATTTGGTCAGAATCGGTGTCTA